CAAAGAACCACCATCAGAGACTGGCTGCTCTGCTCCTTTCTCTTTATCATCAGGGTCTGAGTTCCCTCAGTGTAAAGTGACTGATACTGTTACTGATGAAGAGTTTACCTTCAGTCTTCAGTCCTCAGGTGAGAAACAGGTTAGAAGATGATGAACTGAAGAAGATCACTGACATCACAGGAAACTAGGATTAGATTCAAGATTTGGACATTTATTGATTAGTAAATGGGTTGATGTAAATGACTTAAATCACCCTATTTAGTTATTTAATCTGAATTACATTTTGGAAGAGTTTTTAAGATTGAAAGATTAACATTTTCTCCTTGTTTATAGAAAAAACAGAAGCAGAAGATAAATCAACAAAAAAACCTGACGACAAAAAGACAACCAAACCAGAAACAAACAACGTTCAGACAACATCTGAAGGTTTGTGGAACATTTAGACAGTTCATTAAAGTTATAAACAGATCTAAAAGTTACAGCCTATGTTGATACATACATTTCCAATTATTGTCTTTGATATTTGCTTGGAACTTCATTTTAATTGCGGAACCTTATTCTTTTTAAAAGGGAAATTTCCCCCAACATTAACACCTGCGAGAGAAACCTCAGAGAATATGAGACCAAAATCAGACAATCCTCAAACAACTCCTCAAGGTAGGGATTATATTTTGTCTAATCTGTGTAATATTTTTATATAAGGAACATTTTTATTTTTCAACTATGCTGTTTTTATGTCTCTTTATCAATTTTAGCTTCCCAAATGATTAAAAGACCAAACTGGCATCAAACAGCTTTTTAAGCAAATCATTCAAAACGTTGCATATTAAACACTCTGAACAATATATGCTAACTTTATCTAGATGTCAAATATAGATTTCAGGAGACTTGTGTTGCATTTCTTTTGAACCGAGCTTGAATGCTCCTAGTGAGGAAGATTAGCTCTTTGGTTTCTTGACCCCCACATCGGAACCAATCGAAAAGTTGCAGGAAACTGCCACTAAGGATCTGAGTTTGAGGCCCCTGCTTTACATGTTAATATTAAAAAAATGCCTGTTTTCTTTTGTTCTCCTGGAAAATCAGAAAATAAAATCCCCAATATTACGGAGCTCTCACATCACACTACACAAATCAAGAAAACGTCTACCAAGCCTGCAATAAAAAATAAAGGTAGGACAATATTCATTTTCAAATGAGTAACTAATAGTTTATTGTCTTTTTTATGTTGTGCAACTTTAAGAATTTTGATGACATTATTAATAACATATTTGTGAAGATTCTCAATCATTCAGGTCATGGTCAAGCTTAAAAGTTTCAGTTTATGCAACTGGAGGTTTCAGCTCTCATCCAAGAGGCTTCATCAGATGTAACTGATGGCAGGGAGAACTGAGAATGATATATTGTAGGTGTAACAAAGAATTAATGGATAAACAAAAGCTTTGATCCCTTCTACTGGATTGGCCATGGAGATCACCTGGGGGTTTAATGGTTGTTAGTGGATTCTGATGGCTCTGATGACCGACACCACTCTTTCATCAGAGTGGTGTCGGTCATATGCCTCATGAGTCAGGTTAGGGCGGGTGAGAGGTGAATGTTGTGGGCATTGTTTCTAAAAGTGCTTTATAAGTGTCATGATTTAATTAAAGATCTGACCCAAAATGCAGAAGACCAAACAGAGAGACCAGGGAAAAGTTTAACTGGTTTATTTAGAATAATGAGATGAGTCCAGTGCTGCTCTGAACACTGTCAAACCGGACTGGAAAGTGAGGGGAAGATACTGCGGTTAGATCAGGCTCAGTGGGAAATTAGATTCTTTGACTTGAAGAGGAGGAATAGGTTGCAGACTCACATTTCCAGAAAAAATGTGTCTTTATTGAATCCAGTCTGTGTGGGATGTTCCAGAGATTGTCTTGTTTGATGGTGGACAGACTGGGTTTACTCCTTGGAGAAGCTGACTTCCACTTAGATTTCTTGCTGTCCTTGAACGGGTTATTGTGGAGATGAATCCCCTGCTCAGAGAGAACCCCCAGACAATCCTTGGGGGAAAAGGTTTATCCAAACTATAAACTTGAATCCATAGCTCAGTTTGGTTCTCAGAAGATCCTTCCAGGGGAGAGAAGGTCAGAAACATCCAGTTTGCAGAATGACTTCCTGCCGAAAGGCAAAGACAAAAACGGCAAGATTAAAACTCATTAAAACAAGAAACTCATTTAGACTTAGCGAACTCAGCTTGGCTAGAGTACCCAAAAACTGCCAAAACAAAGACTATGGTTAGACTCTGCTAAACTAAGCATGGCTAGAGTACCGCAAGCTGGCAAACAGTTTGGCGTCGAGGTAGTGGCAGTCAGCAGCTTAAGAGCACTCCACAGGTATTGAGGCAACGAGCTGCAGGTGTGCAGGGAGGCCCAAGGAGGGCGGGGCACCTCCTGGTGGAGAAGGAAAGGAAACACAAAAACAGACCACACAAACTGGATTCCTGACAATAAGTAGGTAAAAGGTCATTTCTAAGACCACCTCCTCTGTTGAGAGATGGCTTTTCCAGGTTAACAAAGAGGGCTTCCTTAAATCCTCTCTCAAACCACCTTTCTTCATTGGTCAAAATATGAATGTCGTTGTCATCAAAATAGTGTCCTTTAGCCTTCAGGTGTAAGTGAACAGCTGAGTCCTGTCCTGAGTAATTGGCCCCCCTATGTTGACTCATGCACCAGTGAAACGGTTGCTTCGTCTCTCCAATGCATGGGTCTGTGCAATCTTCACTACACTGAATGGCATTAACCATGTTGCCAGGTTTGAAGTGCACAGGGATCCAGTGCCTCCTGAGTTTTCAGAGATGCCAGCATCTTAGGGAATTATGATATTCTTCTAGTTGGTTTTTTTCAAAAAGCCTATCTAGGATAACCCCAATTCTTCAGGGATGTCCTGATATGTCCCTGTTCTCTCATCCTCCCTCTGTTGGTGGTGGGAATGGTTTCTGCTCATGCCTGGGGGGTTTAGGTGATGCCTAGTTGTGTTCCAGTGGGTGGTGTGAGTCAAAATTGAGGTACTTGTCGGTGTGTGTGGGCAACCTGTAGACATCTATGTTGAGTTGTCTGCTCCATGATGTGAACCGTGCAGTCCACATGAAGGCAAGGCTGTCATCTTTCACATCTTTCCGAGTGACCTTGATGTTTCTGTCCACTGCATCGACTGCGTGTGTCATCAGCGTATCTGAACCAGTGACAAGGTTTTGTTCCAATGTGTGAGTGTAGAGTTCTGCTTTCCACTTCTTCCATGTATACATTTGGCACTAGGGGAGACACAGGAAAGCCCATCATGCATCTGCTTCTGCCCGTAGAAAGCTTGGTTGGATTGGAAGTATGTGGTGGTGCGCCACAAGTCCAAAAGAGAACAGATATGGTCCGTGGTTAGGTTGGTCCTATCTGACAGAGTGTGGTCTTGAAGTTAGCGCATCCTTACTATGGACCACAGCCTCTGTGGTGGGGATGCAAGTAAAAAGAGATGTGACATCATAGACCATGTTCTCACCTATGCCCATTATAAGGTCCTTTATCCTGTTGTAGAAGTCGGGTGACTTAGCAATGTGATGCAGTGTTTTGCCAGAATGGGAGCGAGATGTTTAGCAATGCTGGAAGTGACTTAACAACTTAACAAGTGAGCTAATTATGCTGATGATGGGCTTTATTGAAGCTCCTTCTTTGTGTATTTTTGGGAGGCCGTAGATCCGGGGAACGGCTTTACCTCGGTACAGCTGGCAGTATTGTTGCCTGTTGATGGCTTTGTCCTTTTCTAAATAATGAAGGCAGCTGATGACCTTCTTCTGGTGGTTGCTAGTGGGATCTTTCTTCGGTGATTCATGGATGACACTAAGGAGGGCTTTAAATTTGCCATGGTAGTCGTTTGTATTAAGTACAAGTATGCAGCTTTCTTTTAGGCTTGAGGGCTGTCAAAGCTTTCATTTCCGGTAAAGTTTGAAGGGGGGGTCTTTGCACTGAGAATGCTGCAGTGACCTTTAGTCTAAGTTGTTACGATTCTGTGGCAGTCAGCTTGTCGTTTCTGATGACTGTCTCAGTGGCTGTGATGAGGTCCACTGTGGGGATTTGTGCAGGGGAAATTATTAATAGTATATTTCCTCTCTCTTTGATCTTATATCTTTTTGTTTTCTCTCTCTGCTCCCTGGTTCTTATTTATACTTTTTTGCTAATTCTTACCAACTTTTTTATTCCTCCCGACTATTTTGTATATTCTTTATTTAATTGTCTATGTTTTTCCAATTAAAATGTAAACCGTATTATATTATTAAGCATTTACTTATGGAATCTATGAGTTATTGGATCATAAACCAAATCTGTTTAATCAGCAGAAGCTCTTCTTTTCATTTTTTAATCACTCACATTAACTTATGATTTTTTTAAAAATATATCCTTAAATATAAATTTTCTCCATGCACTCTATATCTATATGTTACAAATCAGGCAGTGTGGATATGACCGAATATAATATTATTTATCATTGAATGTTGTTTCAGAACACTCAACCACTAAAAGGACGACAGTAACAGTTGCAATCACTAAATCTCAGAGCAGAGCTTCGACAGGTAAAGGTGAGCAGTTTGCAACATCTTTTTATATATTATCAGGACTGACAAATTAGTTTATAGACTAAATTCTATTTTGTAGGTTTTACAGAATGATTTAATTGCCTTGATTTCAGATCATATAATAAAATCGAAATACTAATGCTTCCCTTTCAGGCCCAGCAATCATTGCTGGAGTTGTTGTTTCTGTCATTATCCTGATAATTGCTGTGGTGATCATCAGATGGAGAGCAAAGGGTGAGAGTTTTGAATGATAAAACTACAATTCCACCTTTCTGAATTATTATTGTTTAAATTTTCAATTATTATTGTTTAGAATAAATCAGAATCTGTTTTTTTTTTTCAGGAAAGAAAACACAGACTGATGAAAATGCTGTGAGTACAGTTTGCATGTATGTGATCTAATGTGTGTTTATTGCTTTACTTTTTGTTAAGAGGATTCTTTTTTCTCGAGAACTGCATAAAATGTCCCCAAAAAAACTTAACCTGACCTCTAATCTAGCCAATTTTAATCACCAACTACCCTCTGGGTAATTGACTACTGGAGGGAAACTTTGGAGTCTGACAGCATTGAGAAATGTTACAGGCGAGCACCTGTTTAAAGGTTTTTAATTAAAAGAACATGTTGAGAATTTTGTAAAAAATTACACCGCTTTATGCTGCAGAAAATGTAAATCTAAATAAATCTTCTTTTTTTTAAATAAGTGCATTTTCACTTGAATTGAAGTGGTAAGGGAGACACTTTTCTTATTTCAAGTGCATATTATCTAATTATCTTATTTTAAGAGTAAAAATATTTATTTCATTGGCAAATCATCCTTTTTAAATACACAAATTAGGGGCAAATACACTTAATTTAAGATTTTACTTCTTTCTAGATCATTTTTGCAGTGCAGAAGAAGTAAACCATGTAAACCGTGGTATTTAATGATATAAAGTAGGTTTATTTCCATATTTCTTTTATCCTGGCCAGGTTGATCTTAAAGAGAACGTTTACTACTCCACCATCAAACATCCACAGAAAACCAATGTCAATGCTAAGGTAAGATGTTTGTTACACTGCTATATGTGTGCCAGGTTTTCTTTAACCCATTAACCGACCTTTACCTACTGGTAGATTTTAGCATCAAAAACTGATTGGAACCAGTTCCAACATCCCAAGGCTCAATCCAAACCAGCTCCTAAAAACTAACTCCTAGCACTAACCCTCCTTTTGTGCATTCCCTGGTGGCCCTGCCATATCAAGGGCTGTCTGACACAATGAAGTGGGTAGGGTGAGCGGATGGTTAAGCCCTTAAATAGACAGTCTGCATCGGTGCAGTGGGTGAAACGGCGGCCAACTGGCAAAGGAAATAGCTGCATCTAAATTTGAGTTCCACTGGTTTGCTGCATCTTTGTCACACTGACAGAAAATTCCAAGTTAGAAAAAAGGAAAACTATGTCACTAATTCCAAAAGGCAAGGACCTCTTTGAACTAGTTTTGTTTGGACTGTATGTGAGTGTCTCTATTTTGCCTTAGCAACAACATTTTTTCTTTTACAGTAGAGGGAAGAAGGCGTCACATTCTCATTAATACCCTCTACCAATGAAGGTGCCCTCCACTGCTGCAGATGTGACTTCTATGGGAGGGACACTCAATAGTTTAGGGGTAGTGCAGAGGGGGCAATTGTGGATTGGACCAATTCTCCCAGAATTTTTCCAAGTTTTAACTTTCAATTTTGGCTTCAATGCCACCAGTTCAAGACAGGAAGAACAAGCGACCAAATAAATACAAAAAAGAACCACAGGAGTGAGTGCAAAATCATCATAACTTTTAAAAGAGACCTAACTTTAACTAATGAAATTACAAGTCAGTTTACTGGCATGCAATAACATTTTATCATACAAAGGCCATTTGCATTACAAGTTCAATGACAGATTGGAGGCTAATCAACTGGTTAAGTGAACAGGATGAAAAAAAAACAATTGGCATGTTTTAACTTTCTGGACCTAGATTATGCAAGTCTGAACATGACCAACCTGATTAATCACCAGATGGCTCAGGATACATGAGTCCTGTTTTTTACGGTGTTGTCGACGTTGCTCTAAGGCAGGTTCCTGCGAGGAAATTATTTTCCCTGTCATTTAGCGCACACCTTCAGCAGGTAGTGCTGTTGTCAGTTTAAAATCGGATTACTACATCTGATTTTTATTATAGGGTTAGCCAGGAGTGAGATGTAATTTAGGAGAACTGATGGCACCTTAGTTGAAGGTGAAAAGGCAGAGAGCTGAAAGTAGAGGAGCAGACAGAAATAAGAACTCAGAGAGCCATGACACTATTAGGAAAGACATCAAACACCAAGCGAGTGATGTACTGCAGTGATACATCCTAAGAGGTTAATTTTGTAAGGGTGTGCATAATAATCGTTTTGTATTGATGCATCGATCCAAAAGTCAACGATCCGATGCATCGACACGTCCGCAAGAATATTGATTCATTTTTTTTTTTTCCCCCCTACGGTCTATTTTTATCCATTTGTTCTTGGATGTAATTCTGGCTCCCATGTTGCGTTGGCGCTAAACCTACTTTGCCCTCCTATCGCGCTTCCTTTAGCTCCTTTAGCATCGGCCATCAGCTTGACATATAGTGTGTCAAAGTGTGTGCATGGTTGTTTGTCCTGTGCTTCTGTGTTGCCTTGTTGTGGACAAGCGACCTGTCCAGTAAGGTTGTAACAATACAACAACCTACATTGATACATCAATGACATGATTAACTATTCAAATACAGTACATCAATGAGTCAATGCATATACAAATACATATATGAGTCATTCCACTAGAATGGGTAAAACTGGACTCTGATATTTTCACATTTTGTACCAAAAAATATTGTTCCTATGTACATCCTAGAGATGTATTCAACTTTTAGAAAAACATATTTTCCCATTTCAGGGACTATTTTTCTTTTAGTTTTGACCATTATTATAAGATATGGTCACCCTTATCCTCTACCCTGTTATGAAAACTCTGAAGGCTCTTTGAATATTATCATAAAATACATTAGGATTGATGTTGTGGTAGTGTCAGCACCGACGGACTGACACCCCAACTAGGAATCTCTGCAGCTATTTTGACAGCCCTCCTGAAGCTATCTTTCGGGAGAAGGCATTGAAGTATATGTGATGTTGAGCATGTGCGCACTCTCTTTTTTGGACGACCAATATAAAGCCTGTTCCTAATTGACTACTCTTTTGAAAAACTGGATGGTCATAACCTCTGTGCTGCAACTCAGTTTTTTGGTTTTACTGTAGTCGTGGACATTTTTATTTAGCCCAACAGCCTATCTTTTAAGATTCTCAGAGAGTTCATTGTCATGAGGTGCCATGTTGGAACTGTTAGTGACCCGTATGGAAAAGTGTGAGATCTGTACTACAAAATTGAAAGCACCTGCTCTTTTTGCACATCTGAGACCTAGTAACACTAATGACTCACGTGACATTTAGGAGAAAAAATGATATGAAGTGCTAAATTTGGACATTTATGGATTTTTTTGTGTTAGGGTTTAAGGCCTACTCACTTCTGTAGCTAGTGGTGTAGACATTAATGGCTGTATATTGCATTGTTTTAGGTAGCAGTACATTATCACTGTTATACAAGCAGTACACAGGCTCCTTTTCATTGTGTTAAAATGAAATTTCTTCGGTGTTGTCCCAAAAATGCTGTTTGATTGAAATACCTAATAAAAATGTCAACTCATATTTGACTTGCATTTTGTGAGATGTCAATGTATATAACTGTTAGATGGGCTATTGATATGACATTATACGGATTGCAGATTATGCTTTTGATTAGATAGAGATCCTATTGTGACATAATGTGATATGGGTAAACAATGTATCATCATCTAAACAGATTGATATCACATTGGATTGAGGTAAAAATGGTGATATACATGCCTACAGTGCAGGGTGTACCTCACCGCTCACCCAAAGATGGCTTGAGATGAGTTTAAAGGATGGAACCAGAAAATCTAACCTGAAAAAATGTTTTTAATATTTGATTTTCATAACTAAAATAATAACCACATAAATAAAAGTGATAAAACCTAGTAATGTTGTAACTCTGTGTTTCTGTTTCAGGATGCTGGGGATCCTGATACAGTGTACTACAGCACTGTGAGAGCCTCTCCCTCCTCTGCTGCAGCCTCTAATGATCCCAACAGCCTCTATAGTGTTATAACCTCCATCAACTGAAACTGCAAAGAAGACTAGCTCCATCTAGTGGTAGCAGGGAAATATTGCAGCTCAAAGTTTCTCAAAGTCAATTTAAAGGTACACTATGCAACCGGTGTTGATTTTCCAGCGAGGCTCCCCCCAGAGGGCGAAAGTAAAAGTGCACTGTCGTAAATATGCACAGCTGTTCTCCTGGTTTCTCCGTCAAGCCAGGCGCGGTTGTTTTGAGCTTAGCAGACAGGCGAACGCAACGAATGACTAATGCTGCGTTCACACTGCAGCTGGCGCAAAAGAAGCATCGAGTTTACATACAAAGTCAATGGTTGACGCGCGTCAAGGCGCAGCAAAAGGTCCCGCGGCGCGTTTTGAGCAGCAGGCGCAGCGCGTCTGAGCAGCTGATGCAGCGTGTCAGGCGCGTTTAATCATCTGACGCAGGGAGAGAGACACAGCGCTGATGATCAGAGGCTATGATCACTCCTCTTAAACAGTTTATTGACGCCTAAATTAACTTAAAATGCAGAAATCTGCCGGCAGAATATGCAGTTTGGATTATTTAGATGAAAAACACCTACCAGCTGCCGCCGTGAACCGCGAGGAGGCGACCCGGCCAGAGGCTGCTGATGAAGGGATTCCTACTGTCGGCGCACCGCTGGTATGTGGGGGTCTGAGCGGCTCCGACAGAAAAAATATTGAAGGCAGGATAATAATCTGAATGAACTGACGGCACTGATTACGTTTTCAGGTGTATTTTCTCACTTAAAAACATATTAAAACTACTTCATTCCCACTGATCACAGCAAATATAGCTGCAAGGCAGAGAAAGGATAGTGAAGCTCCGCCCAACACGCGTCAGACACACTGTTGCACCGCGCAGCCAGAGCAGCAAAGCTGCTTCAGCCGCACGTCAGAACTAACTGGTACAAGCAGCAAAAAGGAAGCAGCAGACGCGATTTTGCTGCTTTTGCTGCGTGAACGTAGCATAACTGCACAAAGATCGCCACTGCGCTAGCAACGAGAATGCTTTTAACCGGGGGGGTGTAGCAGTTCTCGCCGTAAAGCAAGACTGACTCTCGCGAGACTTCTGAGCCTGTGGGTGCGGGTCGGTGCTCTTGCAATTGCGGTATTTCCCCCACAGACCACCAGGGCGGCCGAGAATACCTTTGTTCAACCTGAAATTACTCATTTAATCATCCAAAACGATATGGAACACATTAATTAACTGAAAAATGTTGCATAGTGTGCCTTTAACTATGTCTCCCAATGTTAACCCAACCATTATGGTCAGTCAGTTTATGACCACATAAGTTCTTTCATCTATCAAAACATAAAGGTCTTTGTACCAGAATATCTATCCAACAAAATATATAGTAGAAAAAAAAAAAAGCACCAGCATCAATAGTTTGCTTTAATAAAGATAAAGTGCTTTGCTGCTGATTGGTGCTGATTATGATAATGACTTGCATATGACAACCTTATGTTATTTTTAATACTTTATATTTTGTTAAGAATTAGGAAATTTTATTTTGATTATCCTGCAATAATCCTTTTGCTGTTGTTATTTATTTTAATCTAAAATAGCTGCTATAACAAAGTTTAGGGTTTAAATATTTTTATACTTAGCTTCTTTTGGTCTTGCTGATAGGGTTTTTTCAGTTTTTTGTGATAACTTTTGCAAATCAGTTCCGTCAAAAAAAAAAAAAAAAAAAATTGTTTAGGATTATCTTAACCCTCTTATAACATTACACCACCTTATAGAGGATTTGACATTCTATTTTACCCTTCAAATTGTTATTAAATGGTGAAAAACTCCTTAATACTGCCCGACTACCAGAGTTTTCAACTATTGGCAAAAAAAAACAAACTCATTAACGTTTTTTGTTTTTTTTTCTTTTTCCAGACAGACTAAATAAATTCAGGTATCATTTATGTATTTTAGGTATGAGAGGCTTGAAAGACTAATTTTGTGTCAGATGCTTTCAAATACATAATTGCTATTATATATATATATATTAAATATTATATAATGTTTACATCTAATAAATATTAACATTTTGTTTACTCAGTTTAATTCCATTAACTTTACTGTCAGTATAGTTAATGCTTTTAAGTTATGATTTATGTAAACAAAGCTTTAGTCGCTACTAACGAATATTAATGTATAAACATTGTTTTGTAATAAACATTTTCTTTGCTGTGGTTTACTTAATCTGCCTTTGATTGTTTACATAGAATTTAATACAATAAGAGTGTCTTGAATTAAAATAAGATTCATTGATGAAGATAAATTACTTTAGAGACCAGATTAAGGATGAAGCCTGTATAAATAAATTCTAGTTATAAAAAATTAAAGCAGTCAAGAAATAGTCCTAATTTATATCAAGGTGTGACATAGCTCCAGGATTTTAATAGTTGAAATATTTTAACAAAACACATGCATAGTGTTTCTACCTTAAAAAGCTTTGATTATTTGCTCCTACTGTACCTTACCGGAACCACAGAAACAATTTATCTGATATGTTACTTCTTATGTCCAAACTATCATTTTAAACAATTTCACAGCTAACTTATTTGTCCTGCACCCATTTATTCCTAAGCTTTGACCTCCTTGTTTAATTCTTCAGACGTCTCTTCAAAAGTTCCACTTTTTTTTTTTTTTTTTTCCACATAAAGCATTTTCATTTTTTAATTGTACAATACCTCCCTCTTGCGGCTAAACACTATAATGCAGCCACTGTCGTGCTCTCAGCCTGGCAAACACTGGGGATGATTGGATCGCTGGCAGGTTTTTAAATATATTCCCCAAATGTTGCCACAAAACTTATGGTCAGACAAATTAAGAACACATTTGTCCTTTCATCCAACAGAAAATAAAGGTAATTGCACCAGAGTATCTTTGTAAAGTGTAGCAAGACTGTTTGTTGATTTATAAGTTATTGTTCCTTCCTCTTATAGTTCTGCTTCTGGCTTAGATTTATCAGCAGGACTTGTTTCACTGTTAATAATGAGACTCTTACAAGCTCTTCAGCATCTTCAATGAGTGTTTTACATTTTGGGGGCTTTATACCCACCTCCTCCTCTGTGGGACACAGAATCCAAACTTGTGAGGATCCACAGTCTCTTTGATATCTTGGCTGATTTATATGGTTTTTTCCATGTAATTTCACAATTAGGCAGTTTTTTTGTCTTGATGCTTTAAATTGACCCAAAGGTTTTACTCAAATGTTGTCAATGAACCAATTAAAAAAATTAAGCTTTAGAGCCAGTATATAATAATTAAAAACTTAATTGGTTTTTAAAGGTTTTAAGTGTGTAGTCATTTTAGGAGATCTAAACTTTCAGGAGATGTATCATATTTGAATGGCAATAGAATAGAACAGAAAATAGAATATTCCTCTCAGAATGGAGAGATTTCAATGTAACAGCAGCAAAGTGACTGGGAAATTTACACAAAAAGAAAAAAAATCATAAAAATTGAAACAATTTTGATATTCATAAAAAAAACATTTTGACAGTTTTAATAATAATAATAATAAAAAAAAAGCTTCCTTGATGGAAAGTGGAATGTCTTCAATTTGGAAACAAAGTCCAGTGTATTATTTTTAACATTTTTTGAACGTTATGGTTGTGTTTCGCTGTTTACACTTTACTTTCAAATATCTTCTTGTTAATCAGATGCCAAAAAAAAAAAAAAATCTAAAATATATATATATATATATATTAGATTTTTTTTTTTTTTTTTTATGTGGCTTTTATTTTGCTCAAATTACACTTTCTAATTGGGCAGAGGCCTGAGACTGTTGCTTCCTCCTGGAGCCTAGGATAATGGGCCTAAATTGCAACCCTTCGCTAAACAGGCTAAACATCCTGGAGCTCTCATGATTTAATTAAAGGTCTGACCCAAAATGCAGAAGACCAAACAGAGACCAGGGAAAAGTTTAACAGGTTTATTAAGAATATGGTGATAAATCCAGTACTGCTCAGAGTAGAATGAAATGAGTCCAGTGCTGCTCAGAACACTGTCAAACCGGAACTAGAAAGTGAGGGGAAGACACTGCGGTTAGTTCAGTCTCATTCGGAAATTAGATTCTTTGGTTTGAATTGGAGGAATAGGTTGCAGACTCACTTCTCCAGAAAAAGGTGTCCTTTATGGAATCCAGTCTGTGTGGAATGTTCCAGATATTGTCTTGTTTGGTGTTGGGCAGACAGGGTTACTCAGACTGCGGTTGTTCCTAGGAGAATGGAGAAGCTGACTGCCACTCAGATTTCCTGCGGTACTAGAACGGGCTGTGGTGCAGATGAAACCTTTGCTCGGTGTGAAGCTCAAATGACCTCTTGGGGAAAGTGGATCCAAACTTCCTTTGCTCGATGTGAAGCTCAAACGACCTCTTGGGGAAAGTGGATCAGAACTTCCTGTTTGGAACCCCACCTCAGTTAGAAGCTCAGTTGGTCCTTCCAGAGAGAGAAGGTCGGAACAAATCCAGTTTGCAGGATGACTTCCTGCCGAGAGGCAAAGGCAAAAAACTAAGTTAAGATTCAGGTTGACAAAAAAGTCAGGTTAGACTCTGCTAAACTAAGCATGGCTAGAGTACCCTGCATTGGCAAACACTCTGGCGTCGAGGTAGTGGCAGTCAGCAGCTTAAGAGCACTCCACGGGTAATGAGGCAATGAGCTGCAGGTGTGCAGGGAGACCCAATGAGGATGGGGCACCACCTGGTGGAGGAGCAAAGGAAACACAAAAACAGACCACACAAATTGGATTCCTGACAGGAGCCTTGCGTTATAAATATTAACTGAAACTCTAGAAAAAGTCCATTACATTCTATGTGATCACACACCTGATTTTTTAGGCTCAACTTAGTCCACTTGACACAGCTTCAACCTTTTTGAAGTAGAGGTGTCGCTGGGAAGTGTTTCAATCACACCCCAGTCACGTGACCGCTGGAAGCGAAGACTTCACATCACAACTCATGTCGAGCTTCATAGGAAATTCAGACAATCTGGGCATTTAACACACTACTCGTCAATAATTTAAATAGCGCCGGAATCAAGGCTCAAACCCTTGGTTTTGAGATGAGGAAATTGTTTTGCTAGCAATTTTACTATTGGCATTGATACTTTATATC